ACCAGACACCGTTCCATTGCTGCTTGTAGAGGTCAGTAATGTCATAGATGGAACTGCAGTGGCAATATTGTCTTTCATTGCTGGGTTCTGTGTTTGTTAATAATCTGATAAGGGAATGAAGGAGATTAAACAACTTCAGCTAAGTAAACATAAAGTCAATTAATGTCATTATATGCTCCACTCCCTTGACAGAGCATTGGGGATTTTGTTTTGTTTTGTTAAGACCCATCTTGTTTGTTGTTTCGGTGGCTCATTTAGTTGTATTTCTATTGATATTACAATCCAAAAGATCTGTTTTCTGCTATTGAAGGAGCCGGTGTTGCTGTCGTATGGATGATGTTCATTGACATTTTCTTAAAAGAAAATCCCCAAACATACAAACACATGGAGCTTGTGCAATGTTAGCCTTGTCATTGATTTAAGCCAGTTGTAATTTTGCCCTTGGACTGGTGTAATGTGTTGTAATAGAATGTGCTCATTATGAGCCTAAAATGTCAGCCATCATACCCCTGAATTATCTCAGAATCAACTGTGCTTTTTCTAGCTGTGGTAACAATGAAACTGATTATAAAGAGAAAGGGAAGGCTCATAATTTGTGGTTTATGAACCGCTTTTTAGAGTGAGCAGTGGGTTTTTTTTTCTTCATGATTGAGGATTGTCACAAAAACCAGAAATTTGTATTGGTAAACTGTCCCTATAACTGTTTGGTTCTTCCAGAAAGCATGTGTTTTCTATTGATGTGAATAGTCTGTTTGAAGCAGTTGCACAGACATTATCAAGAGGTTTACTCAAGAAAACAGTTAATTAGCAAGTAAGTTCATACATGCAGTATATCCATTTAGCACTTCTACTTAGACAGCCCACACATCACATGCACGCCTTTAATAAGAAATACTGTCTCTGGTTTTTATCTGTACGTGTCAGACACGCAGGCAATAAGTTGTCATAGATGTCACGTCACAACCCTGACTGTGTTTGCTTTGCTGATTGGATGGCCTTGGCACCAACCTCTCTGCTGTTTGCCTAAGCCAATGGGCTCTCATCTTGCCAGGGGTTAATTTGAAGTAACTGTAATGGGAACAGAAGCACATATTTACCAGCACACACACAAGGAGCATGAGCAAACACAATAAGTCGCCATACAATGCTGCAAAGAATAACTTTTAAGATAAGATTTTATGAGTTGTATAGTTTCAAACTGTATAGGAATACATGTACTGTAAGGTTTTGAACATTATGAATGTGATATGCAGTGAACTGCAAATGATTTGCATTTGATATATAAAGTTTCAAATAAGCACCTGTAAAAGGACAAAAGCATCATTGCTGTTTTATGCTCCCAGCTTTACTTAAAACAACCATCATCAGGAGCAACGTGGTGTCAGGAGATAACAGTTAATAAATACCAGCTCTGCCTTGTAAGATAGAACATTAAATTAAAGGAGCTGTCCGGGGAACCGAGAGGAGGTGGAATCTGCTTCTACATAAATGAAGGTTGGTGCACAGATGTCACAGTGCTAAAGAGGATATGTACCGCAGACCTAGAGACTCTTGTTATCAATTGCAAACCCTTTTACTCTCCCCGTGAATTCAACAGTTTCATGCTAATGGGAGTGTACATAACACCACAGGCTAACGCTACCGCACTACAGCTCCTGACAGAACAAATAACTAGCGTGGAGCTAGAACATCCCGACTCTCCACTCATTGTTCTAGGGGACTTTAACTGAGTAAATCTCTCCCACGAACTGCCCAAATACAGCCAGCACGTCACCTGTCTCACCAGGGACAAAGTCACACTGGACCACTGCTACCCAACAATAAAAGACGCCTATCACTCTGTCCCCCGTGCAGCCCTCGGACTCTCAGATCACTGTATGGTCCATCTTATTCCAACCTACAGGCAGAAACTAAAAGCTGCAAAGCCTGTGGTCAAAACAGTGAAGAGCTGGACTGAGGAGGCTAAGTCAGAGCTACAGGCCTGTTTTGACTGCACAGACTGGAGTGTATTTGAGACTGCAGCTACAGACCTGGACCAACTCACTGACACTGTGACATCTTATATCAGCTTTTATGAGGATGTGTGTGTGCCCAAAAAGTCCTTCTGCACATACAACAAGAAGCCCTGGCTTACAGCAAGACTCAAGCAGCTTCATCGTGCCAAAGAGGAGGCTTACAGAAGTGGGGACAGGACTCTGTACAGCCAGGCAAGGAACACACTGACAAGGGAGATCAGAGCAGTAAAGAGGAGCTACTCTGAAAAGCTCAAAACTCAGGTTTCAGCCAACAACCCCTCGTCTGTGTGAGGGAGCCTGAAAACCAACACTGGCTATAGAAAACCATCCCCCTTGCTGTGGAGGACCGTCAACTAGCAGTTGACCTGAATGTGTTCTACTGCAGGTTTGACAATCAACACTCCCACCTCACCCTCCCCACCTCAGATCCAGCAGCTCCTCCCCCGACAATCACCACCCTCACCCCCAGGCCCCCACCTCTAACAATCTGTGAAAAGGATGTAAATGGTCTTATACTTGTATAGTGCTTTTCTACGCTTTTACAGCACACTCAAATCGCTTTTACACTACTCTGCCATTCACCCATTTGCACTCCCAAACACTCACACATTCACACACCAGTGACATCATGGGGAGCAACTGGGGGTTCAGTGTCTTGCTCAAGGACACTTCGACATGTTGACTGGACAAGCCGGGAAGCGAACCGCTAATCCTCCGGTTAGGAAATGACCTGCTCTACCTCCTGAGCCACAGGCCCCTGCGTGGCCTCTTTAAAAGGCAAAAGATCAGAAAGGTACCAGGCCCAGATGGCGTGAAACCCCTCCTGCTTGACAGTGTGCGCTGATCAGCTGGCCCCCATCTTCACACTTATCTTCAACAGGTCACTAGAGCTGTGTGAAGTCCCCTCCTGCTTCAAACGCTCCACCATCATTCCAGTCCCCAAGAAAACCTCCATCAGTGGAC